GTCTGAGTTGTCAATGCCAACGTTGTTTTGTTGTTGTATTAACAGTAAGGATGGATGACTAGACATATCTTGACATATATATTTTTGGAAAGACTATTTTTTTTCGATTTTCTGGAGTCAACGTTGGCTTCGATATCAGACAGTTGAAAAGCGATATATTCTTTTTGGCAGGTGTATCTCATTCTACGTTAAAAAGTGCCTGTTGAGAGTTTTTTCCGTTCAGAAAAATATCCAAAAATAACAAATTTATGGCATATTTTCGAAATCGGTCAGAAGACAATGTTTGCCAATATCTCGGAAACGGTTAGAGATATCGATATTATGATTTTATTCTATATGAATCAATGATGGACGTGAATATACTGTTACTGTAATTCTGATTTCATGGTAGAGAGCAAAGTGTGAGTGTAAGGTTATGTAGACTCTTTTTGGAATAAGAAATGAAATGATAGATCATCATGCAATGGTGAATTATTGAAAGTCAAAAAAATACATTGACGATTTCACTAAAGATTAGTAAATGGTGCTCAATGAAGATATTTATACTTTTTGTTGGATTCTGGCTATCGAGTAACGATTTTTTCAAAGTCCGCAGAAGTTCGAAATGCATCTATGTATAAATGGATTTATAGCTTTTCTGAGCCCTATAACCTGTGCAGCAATTATACCTTGAACTATACTTTGTTCCCTGAACTCAAATCAAAAATCAAATCAAATCACTTTATTTCTTTTAGACAACATACAATTGTATAAGAAAGAGTCAGGATGGAACCGCATGGTAGTACGGTAGGTATTCATAAAATGAATCAACAATAAAAAAATAACATAGCACGTTGAATAAAACTACGTAACATGTTTACACAATCTAAGTACATAATATAAAAAAATGGACAAAATATTGACTCAGCTTTATGATACTAAGAGTACATGAAAAATACAATTTACATTTAATAATTAAAATATGGAGTTAAAAGTATTCATTTAAACTATATAAACATTTCTCAACCAGATATTCCTTGAGATTTTTCTTGAAGGTGCGTTCATGTTTTAAGCTTTTGATAGAGAAGGGTAAGCTATTGAAAATCTTTGCGCCGATTCTAGCTGGAGCTTTATATGAAATATCGCGTTTAGAGAGTGGTATTCGTAAATCATCCTTACGACGTGTGTTGTATTCGTGGAAATCATTATTAATGAAAAACAAATCCCTATTTTTGAACACAAAAATACAGACTTCAAATACGTAGAGGCCTACACAAGTGAGAATTTCAAATCTTTTGAAGATTTCTCTACAAGAATAGTCTTTTCTCACACCAGCAATGCACCTTATGATTTTTTTTTTGAGAGACGAAGACATTATTCGACAGTGTAGAGTCTCCCCATAGGCAAATACCATACCTCAGTCGACTTTCCACCTGTGCGTAGTATAAATTTATCAGTTGTTGCTGTGTTAAAACAACTCTGAGATTTCTGAACATATAGTGGAGTGATGAAAGTTTGGAAATCAGGATCTTGCAATGTTCTTTCCAATCTAAATGTGAGTCAATGATTCCTAATAAGAATTTACAGCTGTTATTTATAGGTAAGGGTGCGTTATTTAAATTTATATCTACATCTACCAATTCCCTCTGATGACTATGAAATTTTATGAGGTTAGTTTTGTCTGAATTGAAATAGAGGGTGATTTGATTGAACCAGGAAGTCAGTTGGACTAGAGCAGTCTCACAGGTTTCTTTTAATACGATCTGGTTTTTGTTGGAAATCAGTAGAGAAGTGTCAGCTGCATAAATTGTCATCTTAATATCAGGAAATGAGTTTGCGATTTCATTAATGTATAAAATAAAAAGAACTGGGCCCAACACAGATCCTTGGGGAACACCTATATCAATATCGGTATCAGCAGATGACTCAGGTGGCTACATAATATAAACAATGAAGTTTTGAATGATGAATATAGCGAAAATTAATTAAATAAAACTGAGTCCTGGGAATAAATGAATAACAGAAAATGACTGAAGGTTTGTACCACAACAGTGTCAAATATGAAGATTGTGGCACAGAGATATAACGTTTATTATCTAATAAAGTATCTACAAATGACGAACATAACATGACTTCAGGAAATTATTAGTATTCGTCATAATTGATATTCCATTCACTGCGATAATTACTGACTATTATCGGAATGAGCATGTTGCGTGACTCACGGAACACAATAATACCAATTGTTTTTGTCAATGGAAAGGCATAAATCAAAGGAGGCGAACCTACGACAGTATTTTGATTTGAAATATCACGCCTACCACAGAATATAGAAATAATGTGTAATGTGTTTGTGTGTGGTCAAGTGATCGAATAAAAGTGGGTCGAAAATGATCGATAATATCACTTTATATAGTCATGTACTATACGCAGTTTCATAATAGGTACTTGTTTTTTAATAGTACCTATTAGAGACGTACGATACGCTGGCACGACGACTTCAACAAAATCCGAAAATGTTTGTACCAAAATTTAGACTTTTTTCTCTGAATGCAGACTTTTTTCACTGAATTCAGACAAATACAAATACAAATATACAAATACAAATAGACTGTTTGCATTGAATACACATCCACATTAGATAATACCGAAGGGTAATATACTGATTTCAAAAAGTACATTATACAGTCTGTCCAAGATAAGGTTGAACAGCATGGGGATCTCGAAAACGGTAAGAGATACGAAATCGGTTAAATGGGGAAAAAGTTGCGCATTCGGAGGCTCATATCAAGAGCCTTCGGAAATTTTGAAAATTATTTTTAGTTTTTGAGTTATATCGAAAAAAGTGAATTTTTGGAATTTCTATTTTATTTTTTTTCTCCGTTATTATTAGAGATACAGCAAAACTGAGAATACTTTTTCATAGCAACTTTTCATGACGGTCAACGTGGTGATACCGATTTATTCATGCGACGTTTCGTATTCGTGGAACAATCATCAACTTTTGTTTTTTAAATACGGTCCTGATAATTTTTTCACAGATTCTACAAGGTTTTTTTATTCTGAATTCAACCATGTATTATACAAGGTGGTTCATTTGTGTTTCGACCTATTTTTGGCTATCATCAATGTTTTTTCGAAACTCCAAAGGAAAAATGCCATCAGTTCCACTTATTTTGAAGGAAAATTAGTCAACACACTAATACCTCATCAACTGGTTTCAATCAACAACCCATTTCATTTTGCGGAAACAAAAATTCCATCCATACAAATTCAGAATATGTCAAGCGCTAAAACCAGGCGATGACGAAAGGCGCAAGACATTCTGTGAGTGGTATACCAGGAAATGTTAAAATTTTGCAGATTTCTTTCGAACAATCATCTGGACTGATGAAAGCATGGTCACTAATCATGGTAGCTTCGATAGAAAAAATCCACATTATTGTTCACGAGAAAATGAACATTTATACATTACAGCGAGACACCAACACCGTTTCGGCTTTAATATGTGGGTTGCAATATTTGGTACACGAATTATTGTTCCTTCTATTTACCATGAAACACAGACTTCCGAACGTTATAGAAATTCGCTTGAGAATCATCTTGAGGAAGCTCTGGATGATTTACCGATTGCGGAAGTTCAGAACTGTTGGTTTCAACAAGATGGCGCTCCGGTACATAATTCCAGAGAAGTCGGTGCGTTTTTATCCCTTGGCCGGCGCGGTCGCCTGATTTGACACAGCTGGATTTTTTCTTAGGGGATATATCGAACTTTGTACACGCAAATAACTCTGATGATGAAGAAGAACTAAGGGACCGTGTCTTCGAAGCATTCAATAGAATAACCCCAGAAATGCTTAGCAATGTCTTTGAAGCAACTGTGAGAAGAGGATATCTTTGTTCAAAAAATAATGGTTATCATTTTGAACATTTGTTATGAATGTATCTGTAGGTATTGTCAAAGTTAAGTTGTTAAAGTAATTCGTGTAAGAATTCATCAACAATTTTAAACGCTGCATTGATCGAATGATGTAGTGAAATATATTTTATTCACTTTTCAGTATTGAATAACTAATCCATCAAGTTTGACACTGAATGATCAGAAATAAGTGGAACTGATGGCTTTTTTCTTTTGGAAGTTCGAAAAAACATTGATGATGGATAGAAATAGGTCGAAACACATTCGAATCACCTTGTATAGTACATTGTTGAATTCAGAATGAGAAAACCTTTCAGAATCTGTGAAAAAATTATCAGGACCGTATTTAAAAAACAAAAGTTGATGATGGTTCCACGAATACGAAACGTCGCTTAAAAAAATTGGTATCACCACGTTAAACCCCATCAAAAGTTGCAATGAAAAAGTATTTTCAGTTTTTCTGTATCTCTGATAATAACGGAGAAAAAAAATAAAATAAAATAGAAATTCCAAAAATTCACTTTTTTCGATATAACTCAAAAACTAAAAATAATTTTCAAAATTTTCGAAGGCTCTTGATATGAACCTCCGAATACGCAACTTTTTTCCCATTTAAGCGACTTCGTATCTCCTACCGTTTCCGAGATCCCCATGCTGTTCAACCTTATCTTGGACAGACTGTATATTATTATGTCATTCAGTTTTCATGGGGTCGATGATTAATTTTATTATTATCTGCAGGTCAGTACGTCAAAACGTCTATAATGAATGATGCGATGCTTATTCAAATATATTCATACCCAAGAGTATATAGTTTATACCAGGGTCCTGCATCTCACTTCCCGTCTTCTATAGCTCAGTTATCAGTTGAGTCAGGATTATGATATTTTCCAGACTCCACAATTTCATCAAAGGACGCATACCAGGAAAATAATCTCGATTATACAGGGTGTCTCAAAAGTGTGTGACGTCATAATGATTTTTTTTAATGGCATGCCATATATTATGTTGCACATCTGAGTGCTACAACCACTTCAACCCTGAACCCTGGAAGTTTGCGACACCTTTTTCAGTACACCCTGTACAAATAACTCCAACTCACCTCGGAGAGCCTGCCGCCTGCTCCCTGGCTCTCTTGCGAGGCCAGGGCGGCTAGCCGCAGCTTCGACGCCCGCGTGGGTCGCGGCCCTTCGGCGCCATCTTTGCCGCCCGGCAATCGGGAGGGCGAGCCTTCTTTGCCTGCGTCGCCGAATTGGGCGGCCAGCTGCCGTCTCCTCTCCTCCTTGTAGCGCGCTATGCGTTCAGCTCTGGAAACGGAAACAGAGAAATTTGTATAATAATAATAATAAATCGCTTTTTTCTGCAACCGACACAAAAGTCGTCCATTTTGATATCAAAATTAGCTCTTAAATTGACGTTTCTATTACTGACACAAAAATAGGTATGTTGCTAGGCAACATATTTAGTTCCTAGGAGCTAAAGTTGAATTTTAGTTCCTAGGAGCTAAAGTTGAACTTTAGCTCCTAGGAACTAAAAAGGATGTACCGGACGTCATCAAGAATAAACAACATTTTGACGGTTGGTTATTTGGGTTGAGACGCATACCTGATTTGTTTCCGATTTCAGCAGATTTGGCATTTCATACCCATGCTGGAGATATAAATACACCTTATTATAGTTCAGTATTGGAATAATGAACATCTCAGTTAAGTATTTTTGTTTTGATCAGGGAAGCCTTCAAGATTCAAATACTTGCTTGATCTGTATTTCATTCGTTATTCTCGGGATGGATAACTTGTTTTTGAATAATCACGGCAAGCAATAGTTTTTTTATCTCACACGAAGATATTGTTTAGCTTCATTTGATTATCAGGTCAAACACAGTGTAGTATGGAGAGGAATAAATAATCACTATTATCATTGTTGATATGCTCCCTATAACCTAACATTTTTCACGTCTTGTTCCTATAGCTGGGACTGGCGCGGTATTTGCCATTAGAGCACCTGGTCCATACACAAATATGTCACTCTGTGGTTGTATTTATATTATTGAAACTACAATTCGAACATCCTAGAAAACCTAACCTGCTGTTAATGCAGGTAGAATATTCTCACCACATGGATTATTTGTCAATATTTGTTGCATTGCATACATATGGCACGGCATTGGTGGTTACTTCACATGTTTATTTGAGTTAATTGTTTCGGCTGCAGAAAAAATAGCATGTTTCATTCGGATCAAAAGTGACTTTGTTCGACTCGCAAATTTTGATTTCGCTCGGCTTCGCTAAACGCTCCGCCTCGCAAATGCAAAATTCGCTTGTCAAACAAAGTGTCACTTTTGATCCTAATAAAACAATCTACTATTTTTCTACTCACATAACTGAAATGGCATTTAGCGTACGGATATGTACCACGTTAATAAATGATCGATTAATCACGGATTGTCGATCTGTGATTTATTCAAAATATTAAACACGTTAACATGGCAACACGATTTCTTGAACACATTACCATGGCAACACAGTTCATTAAACACAGCTTCAGTAATTTGAGACATGTCTGGCCTGTCGATTGTATTAACGGTCAACTGTTATTTTCAAATTTTGTATGATTGTCGATCTGTGATTTATTCAAAATATTAGAGTCCAAACCTTGTTTCGAAAATTGAATTCAATGTTCAAAGTAGATTACTTAGAATTACTTAGATTACTTAGAAAATTCACCATTATGTAGGATGCTCAGAATAATCAACACTCAACAGTACCTGTAATGATCTGAATTATTTCGAACTAAGTCTGGATTGTTTCAAATTCAAAATGAAAAAATATTTCATCGACCATCTCCAGGTTGGTGCCATACGAGCGATCGCATTAATTTTCACTGTATATGTACACCATTTCCTTCAATACTCTTCACTTCTAGTTATTTTGTTTATAATTTATTTTAATTTTTGTTAAGCCCACTAGAAAATTATGTAGAGGGTTCTTTTTTGGATTTTCAATCTGTTTGTAACCCCTATTTTGGTAAATAAATAAATATTTTCTACTCACATAACTAAAATGGCATTTAGCGTACAGATATGTACCACGCTAAATGGTCGATTAATCACGGATTGACGATCTGTGATTTATTCGAAATATTAAACACGTTACCATGGCAACACGATTCCTTAAACACATTACCATGGCAACACAGTTCATTAAACACATCTTCAGTAATTTGAGACATGTCTGGCCTGTCAATTGTAGGAACTGTCAACTGTTATTTCCAAATTTTGTATCAGAATCATTAAAACAATATTCGTTTATATCAGAATTCTTCATTAAAAATATATGCGAAATGTAGACGAAAGTGAAATCGAAGAGAATGTTCTGGTACTTGCATATCTCCAAGAAGTGTAAAAATGAAGCATCCATCTTTGAGAACAATCTATTTATTCTGCGCTAAGCATGACAATAAACGTGAAACAAAGGTTAGTAAGCAATGGACTGGACACATCAACAACCAATATCACTTATACGTGTCTCGCTGGTTGCATGCAGTTGCATGTATTATGTTCTCAATTCCCATTCCTTACGAATTATTTTGTAGGTTAGCAGGAATAGCAGGTATGTTAATGTAATTTTCGGAGTACATAATATACTATTAACTGTTGAGCTGACAGTCTTTGTAATTATGCTTATCGATGTATAACCCGAATATTTCAGTACTTATAGTATTACTACTGAATATATGGAGAAAAACTAAATAAAGTAAAGTATACTATGTTTCAGAATTCCATACAGAGGTAGGGAGAAAGTCAGGAGAAATGCAGTGTGAGTACAAGAAAAATGCGCAGAAGCACACTGAACTAATAGTCAAAATGTTGAAAGACCGTCAAAGCTAGAGTGGATAACTGAATATCATGATTTTTTGGCCTGGTCTTATTTGATTTTAGTATATTACCTTGTATTTGGAGTTTCAGACATATCTGTAGATTGATCAATCAGGCTTCCAACCGAATGGAACCGCAGCCATCTAGGTAAGCGGGAACGAGAGCGTCTTGTCGATTGTTTATCTGGAAAAAATTATAAAGAAAAAATATTAGATTTCAAATCAATAAAGAGAAACTGAAGAAGATAACGATAAAAATAACGATAAAGAGTAATTTACACGAATACAGCATTAGGATATGATGAATGAAATATAAATTGATCATTTGGATACATATCATCTCGAACTATGACACACTTCAAGATGTGCAAATCTATTATACCCACTCAGTTTCAGTCAGTACCTATGCAAATAGTTTAGTCAAGCATGCCAAAATCAATGTTAACAGTATGGGTTAGAAATTTCAGTTCAACAGCTGATTGCTAGACAGTAGAGTGTAGACCATCGACTTATAGACTAATCTAGACCGCCAATTCTATGAGGAAAAAGGTGAGCCACTCAGTGATAGAACTGGTGAAACTGATTCATGCGCATTTAGGATCCAAGGAAAAAGGTCGGGAGGGGTTTTCTATGGAAGGTTGTTAAACCCTACATAAAGTAGTGAGAAATTAATGAAATATGCAGTATTCAGGTCTCATAAGCTTCCAATACTCAGATTTGAGAACTCTATCTCAAAAACGGCAAATTTGCATAAGGTTTTGATGGCTTGGACTCGCCTGGAAGCATCAGGAAGCTGTCTGGTTTGAAATAGTGTGAAAATATTATTCCTGGGTGGTTGAGATCCAATGGTCTCCTAATAACCTCAAACCATTCATTCCTCTTATCCTTGGGAATACTAGAGTCATTATTCGCGAAAATCACGAACCAATAGATGGCTCTATTAAACGTCAAATCAACGTCAAATTTCAAACTGAGTATGAACAACAAAAACATTGCCGTATGCACTCATTGCAAATTGGTTATTTCGAAATCATTTTGCAAAATAGTGAATAATGAGTTGACTTCGTGAAATACGTACAAGGTTTTCAGTATGGAAAAAATTACTTTTCGTGCAGAGAAATTGCCATTTTGATGTGGACAATGGTTGTATTCATCATTGATATCACACTACAATTCCACAGTTTTCAAACATATGGAATGGTCGGAATGGTCCACTCAACACTTGCATGGACTGGAATGGAACCATACAAGCAATCAGTTATTACAACAATATGGTATAGGTATGAAGAAATAATTGAATTCATCAAGAAATATCACTGGCTTTTATGAAGGAGATTGTATAGGTATGAAGAAATAATTGAATTCATCAAGAAATATCACTGGCTTTTATGAAGGAGATTGAATTCTAGTAGAGGGGCTGGGAAAAGAAGATACTTATGGTTGGAGAGGCTGCTCGATTTACATAAACAAGGATATCCAGCAAGTGAAGACTTGAAGTTATTCTCAAGATCGAATCATTGCATCCAACATTTATACAAGGATTCTAACTGTGCATCAGAAATACTTATTTATTATACAAGGGAAAAAAGTTGTAGATTTTAGCTCCAGGTTGTGTTGTCTCCCGACGCGTAGCGGAGGGAGACAAAAAACCGTGAGCTAAAATCTAATATTTTTCCCGTGTATAATACACTATTTTTTTCTGTGACAGAAGGAAGGACGAATCAATATTGAGAAGATATTACATTATTTCGAAATCTGAAAATTATCGACGTGAAATTTCAAGTTTTTAACAGTAGGGACACCTGCGTTTTATAGGCATCTTCATCATTCTTTTGAAGTAATCAAATATCTGATGTCACTACTGTCAGTTCAATTCTGTGATTTGATTTTAAAAAATTGCGATTTCAGTAGTTGTTTAGTAATATACGAAACTGCGAAGTCGAATGGAAGATAAAAGGACTTGCAGTTCTTTCTCGGAGACGGTATTATTGACTCATTTTTCGGAACTATTGCACAACAAAAGCCATTAACAGAGTATATATATGTGATATATATCCGGGAAAGAAGTACTCACTTTTTTCCCACGGGAAAAAAGTAATTTATGAAAAGTGACATTTTATAACCTGCCAACAGAGATGAAATGCCAAACTTTTTTCCCGTCACAGAAAAAATGTATATTATATTATTATAAGGTAGGTACTGGCTTCTTCATTGTAAACAATAAAAGTTCACGCAATAATTCGAGTTATCTTTCATCAGGAAAAAATGAGGTTCTGGAATATGCACTTCAACAAATAAATTATTTTCAAATAAAACACAGAAACTCAAAACAATGGTCGCCATATTTGTTGTTCATATACTCGCAAGACTTGTAAAGTTAGCCACCAGAGGCCGCACACTTCGTGATTTTCGCGAATTGAATGAGTAAACTTTTAATTCACCGAGGCGGCTCGGTGGTCGAGAGCGTGAAGGCACTGAGTTCGTATGGGGACTCCCACCGAGACATAGGTTCGAATCCTAGTTAGGCCAAGGATGTTTGTGTTCGTATGCTTATCCAACCCCGCACAAGTTTCGATTTATGGGGCGTTTGGTCCCAGTGCTGGGACCAACGAGGTAATGCAATTGCCGATGAGCAGGTATGGCACCTAAGGCCTGGACTCAATTCTTCACAGCTGAATGAATAAACAAAACATGCATGATTCCATTCGATCTAAATACTTACTCAACTGATGAAAGCAATTAAAAATAATGAATTATTCATTACCCACAAACTCACCGATGAAAATAAATACGTTTAGGTATTATTAATCATAGAATTCTGAAGACACAGAACAAACCACTTCATATTTCCTAGGATTGGCGAAAATAAAACGAAAAAATCAATATCACCTCTTAATTTTGATATAATATTAAGCCGACCACTGACATAAATAAAACACTTGAGAAGAAAATGGATACTAGGTTGATTTCGATACCACGTCAAAGTCATGAACGACGGTTTGGGGGTTCTTGCGTGTTGAGCAGAAGCGTTTTCAGGCGAGCAACTGACCCTACATTTTCGGGTTGCTGCGATATGATTACTAGCAGTCTAGATAGAGAAATAAGTCGGTGGTGTAGACCCTCAGAGCTAACTCAAGCATGCCAAAAACAGGAATTCAGTGGTGCGACCATAAGTCGTGCTAATTGCAAAGTGTCGTTTATTTCATGAATTAATCGAAGCAACAGGTGCATACAAACCAACAGCACACTTTGTGCCAATCGTTTTCGTGAAAACATGTATAAATATCTGAAAGAGGAAGCAGTCGACCTAGAAGAAACTCTCACTGACATTGAAATTGTTACAATCGCTGACTGAATTACTAACAGTATACTGTTTTAAAGCCTATTGATATACGAAACCGGGTACAGTTTTTCGGAATGAAAAATTTCAAACAATTCATCATCATCTGGTATTATCACTATTATCAGTGAACATCGAAAACTTGCACTAGAGAATAAGAAGAGAAACGTCAATTTCGAGAAGAGACGCAATTTTGTTCTCATTTCAATGACATTTTTTGTAAATGTTGAATTCAAAGTGATTCATCCTTGCTAGAACAAAGCACGTTCTAGAAATGAAATAATTTGTTTCGATTCGCAGAAACAGATGCCTCAACCTGTATGTTGATAAGGACATAATTATGATTACGAATTATCCAGAAACAAACAATGGTGCACCGCCATGTGTTCGAGTGAGTAATAAAATCATTGATAATATCAATAAAAAACTAAATATATACAAGGTGTCCCTTTTTCATTGTTCTATTGTAGGTACAGGGAAACAAAATTAATCACATTTATTTATGATAATGTTTCTGAAACCATGAGATAGTGAAATACCATCACGATTATATTATAGGTACTCTTTCAAGGTTCAAAATTGTTGGATCTAGATTCTAGAGAAACTATTTTCCACAGTTCAATGATGAGATATTTACTGAGGAATATCCTCGGGAATATCTAAAATGTTTTCTCAAGATTGATACTATTTATTGGTAGTATCAATCGATACAAAATGCCAACATAATTTATTCCTGAGAGTCTTTTGGAATTTTTTTATCCATAAAATACAGCAGGATAATGAGAAAATTTACAGAAAAAAAAACAGTTTTTCACGAATAAATAATGTTGGCATCTCTGGGACCAAACTTAGACATTGACAGTCCTGTAATATAATGTTATCTTACCCTTTCCTATGGAATGTAGAAACCCCAGGAGACCGTAATTCCTCAATGTTTCCGAAAACCACATACTTAAATAAACTTTCACAAAAACGGAAACACAGTTTCCGATAAGGTGATAAACTAGAAACCGCAATAGCGATAAAACTTCGATGTTCGATATATCAAGTTGTAACATCCGATATCTATTAAAAGAATAAAATGCAATAATAGTTTCACTTTGTTCTCCTTCATGACTGACTATTTTATACATGAAAGAATACTGTTATTACCCGATACGGAAAGCAGGTTAGTATATTACACGGTATTTGGCTGTTCAAAAGGAAATTACCGACATCAGACAACATTATGAATCAAGAGAAAATCGGCCTTATAAGAGGACTTGAACCCTCCGGAACATATGTTCAACTGCGGAAACTTAGTTATTTCTATAACTGATAAAGGAAATTTTTGCAATTTTTGATTCCCAAAAAAGCAAAGCTGATTTGGAATGAAGTTGTCCACCTGAAAATTGTATACCATCAGTCATTTCCAACCAATCAGATGCTACATTTCGACATTGTTACTATGGTAACCAGCAAACTTTCTGAAAATGCTCCATCCACATGAGCTTGCGTATATTGATATAATATTGACAATATTTTTCATTTCCCTGAATCCTGGAAAGAAAATTATATGAAATCAATTATTTTTATATAATAATGTATCCGATATCATGCATTTTATTTCACTAGGGTCCGAAAAAAAAATGTTCCCCAATACGAACATAAACTTTCTATCAGACAATATTGACATTTTCCTGATTTACCTGAAAGCCATAGCAAGAAAATTGTATGAAATCAATCAATTTTATATAATCTCTTATCTGATATTATATATTTTATTTTAATAGGGCACGGGGAAAATAAAAAAAAGTCTTCCGCAATACGAACGAATCCACTTTAATTTTTTAGTCAGTAGTGAC